GTTTTTATATGGGCTGGATTGTTTAGAGTTGGTGTCTGGAACTTATTGACAATAAATTGTACAATAAACAGACAGCACACAATCCACTTGTTTTAAAATAATATATTCAAAAACAAGTCAAACGTATGTACAAAATTTTGTTACACCATTCGTTATCACAGTTATATCCAGGGCTTTAAATATTTGTCTCCTTTTCATCAAAGTACATACAGGCTGGTTCAATCACTTTTGAACACTCTTTGACAAGACAAATTCTTCTTCTTTATCTATGTTGCTTCAATACCACTGTGAAACACACTTTAGATATTGCCCATTATGGCTAAACTACCAATCACACAGTCTAACTTCACTTTCGCTAATTTACTTTAACTTCTTCATTTCACTCTGTATCTGCACATATTTGTAACATGTGAAAGAAAAATATAGAAACATCTAGTTCTCTAATGACAACAATATTCACATAATGAGAAACTTGGTAGCTTCAAGTAAGATGCATCAACAGTATTGCAAAAGTTAATGCATACACAACGTACGACTTGTACAGAGTTACGTAATGAAACTTATCATAACCATCACTTTTAAAAGAATTATGTTTTAACACTCTTGTTATGAAAACTAAATAATCATTAAATATTAAATCACTAGATAAACTAAATAATAACTCTTAAACTAAACAGTCTTGTATATCCAACAGGTAAAGAAGGTTTGTTTGTTTGTTATTAAGCACAAAGCTACACAAAGGGCTATCTGTGCTCTGCCCACCACAGGTATTGAAACCCGATTTTTAGCGTCGTAAATCCGCAGACATACCTCTGTGCCACTGGGGGGCAGGTAAAGAAAGAGTGGAAATGATAGGAGAATAAATACTTTGTGGTACCAGGAAAGGAGAAAGTCTACAGATAAGGCCTTTTGATAGTTAGTAGGGATGCAGACTGACAAGCCAATAATGAATAGTCAGGGGAAAAAGGTGGTCACAGGATGACTACCAGGGGGAAAGGAGTGGCTAAAGATTGATGACAAAAGACCCACCACAGTTGCTGATAGGAAAAGTTGTCAAATAAAAGACAAGAGTGCAATAACAGGAGCGACACAAAAGCAGAAAGTCTAGTCTGATGGGTGACAGATGCCACAGGAGGAGGGAAGATAACCCTCAATGGAGGGATGTGCAAGTGTGAAGCAAAAAAGAGATGGAAAATTGAGAAAAAGAAAAAGGTCTTAATGCTAGCAAATGAAGGCTGAGCTGGACAAAGAAACACCAACAACAGGACCAGAGAAGGAAAGTAGTGTGTTAAGTTGCAGAGAGAATAGACAAATATGGGAATGGGCACATGGAAAAAAAGGTAAGGCCAGGCCAGGCTGTGAAAATACACATAAAGCCAGCCAGGCTATGAAAATACATATAAAGCCAAAGGATGAGGAACAGTAGGTCATAACAGATGAGTCCTGGAGTTGTAAAGGGTGGCAAATGTATCCAAGAACGACAACCAAGAGCAAAGACCTGGGGTGTATAGGTCACTCCATTGTTAGAATGTGGATTGGCCAAGAGAGGTGATCTCAACAAGATATAAGCTCATGACAAATTGTAGGCAAGAAGATCAACACAACAAGATGTGAATGGGCTCAGACTGTCATGTCTAATGCCCAAAGGCAAAATGACCTGGAATAGGAACCTCTTGAATGTTTGGTGCAAGAAATGACCATGTAAGAGACTAAGTGAAAGATGACCAAGTGATCCACCAGTAGGGAAAAGAATGGGTACATGTCCAAAAAATAAAGAGAGAGAAAGAGGGTCAAGCCCATGGATGTGGATGGAACACAGGACCAGCATTAAAACAACAGAAGACCTGCTTTTAACAGAGAGGGGAGTGTTAAAGGAGGGAGAGATCTTGTATAAGACGTAGTAAGTGACTGCATAAAGTAATCTGGGCATGGTCCAATCACCAAGACAATACCCTAAAGAGATGGTCCCAAAGGGTAAAGTGGACACTAAGAATGAAAATCATAGGTCTATAAGGTCCATATTTTGACATTAGTATTTTCTCCAAAGGAAGTCGGGTTCTAAGGACAAAGACAAAATAACTTCTAGTGTAGTAAGAGAATGAGAAGTGTACACCTGGTGGCCATATAATGACATAGCTTGCAGATAAAAAAAAGATAGGCCAAATTCAGTTAAGACCAGAGAAAAAGAAATGCTCAAAAGTACGAAAGATTGAATGGGTGTGAGAAAGGATGTAGATTTCAGGACTGAATAACAATTGGAAGAAAAGGAAATAGAAGAAAGGCAAAATATGTGTGAATGAACTAACAAAAAGAAATAGTTTGATAAAAGGAACAGCAGTCCCATAATGCCAAAGAATTTAAGATGGGCACATATTGAGTTAAAGGGCAGAGCAAGGAACAAGAAAAGATGAAAAAGAAGGATGAAGTACAGAAAACAAAGGGAGGACAGCCCAAGAAATATGCATAGAAAGATGTCCATCACATTACTTATGGCTAACTGCAGATCAGTTGAAAAAGACCGTAGATGTGGTTGGAGGGAGGTGGAGAGGAAATGGGAAAAGAAGTTAAGAGAAGAGGATTGATTAAAGAGACTAAGGTGGAGAGAAGGAAAACGACTGTCAGCAACAAGTGAGAACAACTGTAGCAGAAGATATAGGTACCCAAAGAATTGTATATGTGTGATAGTCACTGATAAGAAGAGTGATGAATTAAAGTACTGGTAGATGGAAGACGAGAAAAAGAGGAAGGTCTTGAATCTGGAATTGAAAGGTGAGAAAGAGAAAGATCTAGATGAGGTATAGGAAAACAAAACTTGGGAAGATACTGAGGATAAAAGTTTGATGACAGCAATCCAAGTCACCAAAGGGAAAGGAACACCACAAAACACAAACAAAGAAAGGGAGCCATAAGAAAATGATGTACACAATGAGAAAGGAGTCCAGGAAAGAGTAAAATAATCTGACCTAATGAGTCCTGACTGTAGGGGAACAAAGTATAGAGGGATAAAATAGAAGAAGTTGAACAGGCTAAACAGAGAACACATACCTACCGAATCCACTAGAAGCATGAAGAAGTGCCTCAAATAAAAGGCAGAAAAATACCAAAAGTAGTGAGAAAAGGATTAAAAACGCGAAAATGTGGAACTAGAAGTGAAAAAGACGGCAAATGACATGAACTCCGACAGAACCGGCCTTAGCAGAAATGGCGCCCAGGTAGAATAAGCATTTGTCACCATATACATTTCCCACATTTTTCATCCTCCATATTCAATATTTTTTCTCTTCGTTGACTTCACATACCAGATTCTCAACATTTTCACACCACTTCATTTATACTACTGATAAAATGGCATGTACATATATACAAATAGGACTTAAAGAATCATAGAGGAACTAGTGGACACTACTGAGCATTCCCGGGTATTTTTTAGGCATGCCCAAAAGATTGTATTCATGCAATCAATAGATTTTACGAGGGTTTTTTTGCACACCCCCAGGGCAATTGCGCCTTGGACATTTGCTCTGTTCACCTGGCCCTAGTACCAACCCTGAACCCCAAGCTGGCCAAATAGATACCAAGAACAGGGAATTTAGATTAAGAAAGAAAGCAAGTTTACATATCCAGATAAAATGAGGCATGAGTGTGAGAGGAGATAGGGCATTTGGGTGTGAGAAAAGAGCTACTGTAGAAAGAACAACAAACACGAAGAAAAGATAAGATAAACCCTTACAATAGGGGTTATAAAGTGAAAAATAATAATAAAGAACACAAGCAAGGGATAAGGAAATGAACAAACCTGAGAAGGGTTAGGTTAGGTGGTCCAATAGATCATTCCAGAATGTAAAGAAGTAGGCCTACTAAACATTAAACAAATATCTGCAACGATCCTGACAATCACCTAGCCTACAAAAGCCACAGATGAAATAAGGCCTAAGTCTGAACAATGTTATACACTCAGAACCAAATATAGATCATCATCTTTTAAGAATCCATGATAAAAATTAAACTTTTGAAATGAAAGCTAAAGAAAACGAAAATCAGAATGATTCCCATCAAAATTATACTCATATTTCAAATTGTGATACCCCACGTTCATTACCTTGCACTTATAATAATTAAAAGCCATCTGCCATTTATTTTTTCAACTCACCAAATAATCTAAATACTTTTGTAGGGCAGTAGCATCCTCCTCATAGCCAGCAATATCCAAAACTTTAATATTATCATCAAATTTAAATAATATATTGACCATTCTTTCATCTATATTCATGTTGTAAATCATAAAAGAGCAAAGGTCCAAACATGTACTGAGCCCTGAGGTATCTTACTCGTGACATTAATTCTGTTTGACTGAACTCCATTTATAACAACTATCAGCTATCTTCTATCTAGCCAGTTTTCTATCCAACCTATCCTTTACAGAGATAACTTTTCAACAATTCTTTTATGTGGCACCTTGTCAAATGCTTTCTGAAAATCCAGATACCTCACATCCACACCCATACCCTCATCTACTTAAGCAGTAACCTCTTTAAAGAATTTCCAAAGTTTATAGGCAAAATATTATGCAAGCAATATTTTTCCTAGTGAAACCATACTGACATCCAACAATATTTTTAAACTTTGTTAAATTACATTGCAAAACATCATTTATTGGATTTTCTAAAACTTTTATCACCACTGATGTAGGACTAATAGATCTATAGTTACTGGGACATTTTTATCAACTCCCTTGAAAATAGGAGTAACATTAGCCAACTTCCAATTTTCTGACAGTTGCTTGCAATTCAAGGACTTAGAAAAAATAACAGTAAATTGCTCACACATTCAATCCTTAACCCATTTCAAAATCCTTGGGTAAAGCTCCTGGGCCAGGAGCTTTATTATTTTTTAAGCTTCCCAATTGTTTCTTAACCTCAGAATTAATGTGATAATATTGTTCACTCTTGTTATATATATATATATATATATATATCAAGCACAGAAAATAAAAGTTATACCTCAATTAATTTTTCAGCATGTACAGTAAACATTTCAGCTGTGGTTTTCATTTGTTCCATATTTCCATCTTTGGCAGATTGAACCAAAGCTAACAGTGGAAGTTCTGTTTGCATGAAAAAGTCTGATACATTATCACCCACAGCTTTGCGCAGTTGTCGACGAAGGTCACCAGTTTTACTAGTTATTACTTCCACTGCTGAATGAAGAGATTCTGAGGGCTTGGCATTTCCAATCTGAGAAGAAACAAAAGTACAAACTAAAATTAATTAACAAATTAAATAAAATACTACAGATATTAACCATACCATATTATGGTCCTTATTTTAATAAATATGTAACAAGAAAATGTTAAACCAAATGATTTTATATCTCAAGAATAATATGATTCTGCAATACATTTATTAAAATCCTTTACTAAAAGAAAAATTCATTATATCTATTGTGCAAGCTGACTAATACACTACTAATATCATAATAAAAAGAGTGGAAGAATTTTCTGCATATTCACAAAAATTGCAAATATTTGTCAACCTTGGAAGATGGTTACAATCTACAAGAAGTATTCATTCTAAAAAATACAATAAATTTATGGGTAATTTATAAAGGCAGAACTCAAGAAGGAGACATATCAGTACTTAAAATTCTTAAATGCGTTTGTATGAACATAAGTAAGACAAAGAAATTGAAATTTTTAATCCATTTGAACTAAAAGTGGCAGATCAAATGAACATTCATAAAAAATCTGGAAGTTTAATTGTTAATATGCAATAGAAATTTTCGTTTAAAAGAATTCCAACACAAAACTAAACATTTTGCTATCACAGAATAAAGGATGACCATGTGGGAAATGAATAAATGTAGATTTTCCCAAGTGCTATTAAGGTCTGAAATGCTAACTACTTTCTACAAGTGAACTAGATCTAAAGGGAACACAAAACACTATGATACTAAAGATGTGAGTATTGTGAATAAAATGTTTTCAATCATATATGGAGATACTACATGAATGCAGCTTTGTTTATCAGTCTTTCAATTGTTACTATGATAGCATATGATTAGCTTAAAAATAAGAAATTCCTATATTCATGCAAACCATATCAAAAGGAAGTTAAATAGGTGTTATCATTCACATTATTTTATTTGATATAAAACAGCTTATATTAGATAATAAATTTTATGGTACCTCCATCTTATAAAAAAACTGATTATATGATTTCATGTAACTTAATTAACATTTCATCCCACTCAAATGGTGAAACTTTCAACTGATATGTAAAATTAACTAATTAAAAACACACATCAAACAGAGAGTGTTTGTTATTAGTAAATACTGACATTAGCCATGTATTCAGATAAAAGATCTTGTAAGGCTTGGCGAACAGCATTGCATTCTGTAATAATTCTCTCTCGGCGCTCATCCCGAGTGTTTGGGTAGTCTGCAACCATGGCTGCACTGCGAATGATGCCTTCCAGCTGTTCTTCAAGATCAGTGCGTGTCTTGACCTCATCATATGATGCAGGGTTCATATCAACTTTTATCTGAACCAAATAAAAATAAACCCACTTGAGAAGGTAACTTTTGTTTTAAAAAATCCTGTTTTAGAAATAGATTTGTAAAGTATTCAAGCCTTGTCACAGTTAGTATAAGCCACACAATTGACATTTAATCATTAAATGCAAACAACTTATAACTTGTTCTATTTACCAAGATTTATAAAGAGATGTAGGGGGGTAGTTACCAAGTAACTTGGTGTGGGGTAGAAAAATTGAACTTATGATTTATAGAATAGAACAAGGATTCAACTAAAAACATGTATTGATATTGGAACAACACCATTACTTAACTAACACATGATTTTAATACAATCCTGCACGGATTTTGAGTTCTCCAATGTGCAACCAATATGCTAACAACAAATAAGAAAAATATAACTATAGAATGACAAAATTTGGTAATCCAAAGAAATGATTGAAATCATTGTAAGAGAAAGATCAAATTAAATCATCAATGTTTTGCAGACAGTAAACCTTATGATAAAATGTACTATGAAAAATAGGGACAATGTTGATGTTGAATTAAGGTTATACTAAGGGAATAAACTGTCAAATATCTAGTGAGAAATTATGAAATTATGTTTAATCCACTATCAACCACTAAATTACTAATGAATAGAATACTATTGCTTACATCAAATTGGTCAAGAGCTGCTAACACCCCCTGCTGATCACTCCGATTTGTTATACCTACTGCATGTCCTTGAGCCACTTCACTAATAGTGTTTACTGCCTCACAAATTTGCCTGAGAATGTAGTCTCTGTTTTCTCGAGCAGCATCGAGTTCAGGATGACGAATGTAAACCTTAAGTGGTAAAAAAACCTCAAATTTTTTAATTTTTAGTAATACAATTAAATTTGAAAAAATGCAGTAGTATAGACTGATATGTTCAAATAATAAAATATTATTTAAAATGTGTTAATATTTTCATAATAAATAATCTTTTAACATTAAATAATCATGAATTTCCCCCAAACACATATCTTTAAACATAAGTATTATATAAAATTCCATTATCAGGTTATTTTTGTACATCACTCACAGCTACATTGATTGAATCAGTACACCAATTTTAACAATGCAATGAAAAACAAGAAAACTGAAATAAAACATTATCACAATTGGACTGAACATTGTCAAGATTAACCTACACATTCAAGTATTCCATTTAATTAAATATAAGCTCATTATGAGGTCCTCATTTACATTAATATCTGTATATTTTTCTTGGTAAAATGAATAATGAATAAGTTATAGGTCATGTTAGATTTAGAAATAATAGAATGGCCAAAATGATTAGTTTTATGGATTTTTGAAAGAAGTTAGGAATTTTTAAGTATTTTATATGCTAAGGAATTTCTGTTGATTTTATCAGCTTTATGAAGATGATACCAGTTTTATTTAATAGCTTTTCAGAATCTGAGGTGCTAAATCCCGATTAAGAAGAAACTGGTATCAAGTTCATAGTAAGCTTCTTTAACATAATTGACTTTTGTTAAGTAGGAGAATATAATTTTCTTTAACAGCTGGTTTTACAGAAAAGTTTATGAATATCATGAAAATACTTGAAAGATCTCATAACTTGGTTAATATCTTTTCAGTCATTATTATGTAACTCTTAAAGTGTGTTTTTTTGTTTATGGAAGGTGATTAGAAGGACTTATATTTGAAATGCAATATATAAATACTTGTTGGATATTAGGGAACTGTGCTTGTCATAAAAAATTTTCTTTAAGACTCAGTTTTCTGAAGAATTAGAAAAGATTGCACAATACTTTTAACTCATCTAACTTTACGTTTATTGGGATATATATATAGCAAAAATAAGGCCTTTACTAACTACATTAACCCTCATCAGCACACCTGGGGTCCACATGAACCTCAACCAATTTCTTGGTTGTATATCTTTTTACATAATCATTACAAATTTATATCAATTCATGTATTGTCATTCAGAAACCCTGGATCAATATGACACTATTGTTTTTGAAACAGGCAGAGGGAATGCATATCTATGATCTAATATTCATTTAGGGTCCATTGAGATCCCATACTATCATTGGCCACAGCTATACATACAGTTTGCCCTATCATATGAAACAAATTTGTAAATATTTATTTCACTATATATATGCTATTGTAGAGGATAATTCATAAAAGTAGTACAGTATCATCTTGTCTGTTTGTTTATAACATCATTGTGTAAAGCACGTATGCAAATCTCATTCCTCAACAAGTGTTCTCTGTGATGACTACTTATAATACCCTATTTTATAGAAACCTTGTTTGATAACTGTTGTAAATAACCTTCTTATTGGGTTTACAATCCATAGCCTATTATAAGGATACATGTTTGTGTTGGAGTCTGGTCAGACACAAGGTGACCCACAATGTACACTTTCAGTTTTCTTTGAGTTGAATTTTGTAGTATTGTGGTAATCTCATCATATATTGATGAATAATGACATGAATATAGGATTATAATAAAACTTTGGCTTTTTTTGTTGATACACTGTTTGTATAAGGAATGGTTTAATACTACTTATTTGTATACTGAGGAACAATGTAATTTTGTAATTTCTAAATTTTTCAACATATTTCCTCTACAATACATATATTTTTATGTTGTTCACATTGCATGCTAACCATAATAAAAGTTGTAATGCAATTGGTTTTTGGAATTTCAATATAGAGCTTACTATAATGGTAATTTTATGCTAGGGTCCAATTGGACATAACTTTTCAAAGGTGTACTGTTGAGGGTTAATTTTGGAATCAAAGAGGGATTTGTTATAGAGGTTTAAAATGTTAAAAATAATTCTGACGTTTCATTTGGTTGAAAGTTTAGCAGTGTAATGATTGTTGAAATAGGGCATTTTAGAAATTGTGAGCTCATGCTGATGTAAGTGAACAATACTGTCTGGAGAATTGGTAAAAGCAATGTAGTTAAAAGTTAATCTGTTTTGAGGAGGTATTCATTGTGTAACGGTGATGAGGATGTGATTAGATTTTTATTTAAAGTAATTATTTGCTTTACAGATGAAAATTTAGTTTCTTGTTATTTAAGTCACAGTGTTAATTTAAACAAGTAATCAAGCTTTCCTTAGCAGTCTGATTTTTTCCCTTGGTTAATAGCTTGATTCTTGTGAGTGTGTGTTGAATCTCATGGCTTGAAATTTTAAGTGTCTAGTTCGTTTTTTGGAACAGAGAGAATAATAGTTTTTTTTTTACAAAAGTCTTTAGTTATCCTTAGGAGACAGAGAGAAGTATTATTAAAAATATGACATTATTATTTACAAAAATTGGTTCATATAGTGACTGGAAGTTTTACTTTGAAATATTTGAAAATGAATTGTTCTATAAGTTCTATATGTTGATTAAAAAATATATATATTTTTAAAAGTTTCCAAAGCTTTTAAAGAAGCTAGGTCCTTTGAAATAAATTGATGGTATTTATTTCTTTTGATTAAAGAGCAGAGTTATTTAAATTGGAAATAATAGGCCTGATTTCAGAGGAGGAAATTCCATTGATGAAAGTTTTAAAAGAATGTGTTTCTCTGTTGTGTAAAATAGAGAAATATATATCTCTGGTATCTATATCTTGGAGAAAAAGATATGAATATAAAAGAGGTTTATAAGTAATGGTACGACCATAAGCTGTGGTTTCAGCATAAATGAGAGATTGATGGAAGCATGTTTCTCAAAAAAATTGCAAAGGAAAGTGGGTGATAGGGGGAGATATGAAAAAAAGAGAAATAATGTGAGAAACAAAATAAATAAAATTTAGTAATTGGAAAAAGTTGGGGAAGGTTAAATGTCTTGATGGGGGCCAGAAAAGGAGATATTGATAACAAACGGATGGCGAAAGGCATGGATGAGGTTAGGTTAGGTTACTTACTTTAAGATAGCTTTCCCTGAAGAATAAGACTTGGATTTTCACATGTAACCAATCTAGCCATTTTATTTATGAGATACGAATCTTAATGAAGTTGTTCAACAGGTGTTCTTAGATAAGTCAAGTGTTTTGGAGTCATGCATAAACATTTCAACAGGACCTTTTACATGGAGCTATAGGATAGAAATGTAGACATTGTTTTATGTAGTAATTTATTTCTTGAATATTTTACTGACTTTGAGGATGATATTGAAAGAAAATTTCTGGAGGTTCCAGTAATTTCTTTTCATGGTAGTCAAAATTTCTGTTACTATTGATTATAATTTTAAATTTTGATAGTGGAAATGTATCTGTTGAGATTAGTGGCCATTATGGTCAAGGTTATTAGAGTTTGAGTTGCCCTCCAATGTGACGTCTTCAGTTGAGAATGGTTTCTTGGATAATTGAAAGTTTGTTTTCTCATCAATGGACTCATCCATAATGTTATAATAATGTAGATTCATGTAATATTTTTCATATTCTATTCTCTGTATTTTAGGATTACCTCCAGGATTGTGATGTTAAATTTTTTAGTTTTATTATTTTATATTGTTTATCTTGGGAAGGGAGGGATGCTCTTTAATGGTGAGCTTAGCTTTTTTCTTTCTTGTTTATCATCTAGCCTGATTAGTATGTTGTATCTGAGATAGTTATTGACATTTGATTGCTTGACAAAGGTTTAAAAGCTTTCACTCTTTGTCCATTTCAGGCATGACAAATTTATCATAGTTTGAGACATAGTGGTGTTGTTAGCTGGTTGTTCAGTTTTAATTGGTTTTAGATTTCGAAGTAGAACACTTGAATTCATTTTTTCCTTAGTGTCCATTCATTGGTGTCTGAGTCTATTATTTTGAAGTGTTCGATGTTTAATCCCTCATTACAGCCTTTGTTTAGATGGCTGTAAATTCTAGAGTTGCTGGAAGGGCTCTTTTTGTGCATGCTCCTTAACTCTGGTCGCTAGGATTTGTGTCATTGACCCAATGTAGCCATGCCTACAGCATGTACACGTGAATACCACCAGCAGTCTGTATAAAATAGGTATTTTTCTTTGATGAGGACAAAATTACATATTTATGCATTCAGTTTGAAGATTATTTTTAGCTGGCTTGGACATAAGTTGATTGCAGAATATTCTTGATTTTACTTTTTAGTTTGATGTCATGAGAATCAGTGAAGGGTAACACCAAGGAGATAGAGCATTTGGAAATGTTGAAGTCTGGAATCTTGGGTTGCATACTTTATTAATATATTCAAAAATACTTCTGTTGATGAATGCTATTCAATTCAGGAAACTACTTGAACTTATGAACAAAAATCTCACTTTGTATTTAATAATAAGACATATTATAAAGTTGAGAGTGTTGGCCATGGGTTCACCACTTGCTCCCATATTAATTATATTATTTTTGTTCTATCATGAAACTAATTGTTAAGATACTTGATCATCAAAATTTAAGCCTTTAGTCTCTAAGAGATATTTTGACATTTTTATTGTATTTATAGAACAGAGCCATGCCAAAACATTTCAAGATTATATAAATTCTAAACATAGGAATATCAAGTTTATAGTCGAGGAACAAAAATAATCTAAATTACCTATTTTTTAGATCTAGAGGTCATCAACCTGAACAACAGGTTCAAAACTAGATAATACCACAAACCAACATTTTCTGGTCTGTACTGTCATTCAGCACATTCATACTTGATTGTTACAAAATTATAAGCATTCTAATTCATAGAGTGTATAAACTTACCAGCTCTTATTTTAATTTAAATGATAAAGTAGCCAATATTAAAAATTTTTGACTGAAAATGTCTTACTCCTAGCATTCATCAGCAAAAGTATTTTTGAATATATTAATGAAGCTTACAACCCCAATATTCCAGATTTCAACATTCCCAAATGTTCTATCACCTTGTTATTACCCCCTCATTGGTTTTCATGGCATCAAACTAAAAAGAAAAATCAAGAACATTCTACAGTCATGCCATCCCCATGTCAGCCTATAAGTGATCTTCAAACCGAAAAAACGAATATGTAATTTTTTCCTCTTCAAATACAAAATACCTGTATTAAAAAAAATTGCTGGGGTATATCAATACACATGTCCTTGTTGTAGGCATGGCTACAATGGGTCAAGGACACAAACCTCAGCTATCAGAGTTAAGAAACATGCACAAAAATAATCCCTCCTTCTAACAACTCTGGAATTTACAACCATCTAAACAAAGTCTAGTGAAAAACCGATTATCAAACATTTCAAAATAATAAACTCGGGGACAAATGAATGATGATAAAGAAAAAGGATGCACCCCCTAATTCAAAATTGAAAAAAACACTGAACAACCAGCTAACAACATCACTGCATATAAAACTGTGTTTTACCCATTAACAGATATTTTCTTGAATTATGCTGGTTCAATTACAAGGGATGTTTGAGATGAGGATTAAGTCCATCAATGAAAATTATAATGCAAGTTTGCCAAGAATGCTTTTACTTTGTACATTTCTTTCTTTGTATAAGACTCATGCATCTACCCTGGCTCTGGAAATATTTAGTATGCTTCTCACATGATTAGAACTTATCGTAATTATTAATCAAATAAATTATATTGTTACGACATCGAGGTCACGTGACTAGTATCATGCCACGTCATTCTTGAACATTCATGTCTTTTCCTTAAATCTCGTGATCCTTCTAGATATAGTGTAGTCTTGTATATACAAGACCGGCCACGAAGCGACGAGGGGGTAATGAGTAATTGAATGTATGTGGACAGAATATTGTTGGCCATGTGAGACGTGAGTTATAGTGTCTGTTATAGAGTGACTGTTAAAATTAAGTGTATCGTAAAGTTGTATTCGGAAAGAATAAACCAGTTTTATTTAAGAAAGGACTTGTGTCGCTAAAGTTTAGTCGGAAAGAATTTATGGAAAATTAACTAACAACTGGAGGCGTAACAATATTGTTTGTCCAATATTAACTGTGAGAGCAGCTCACATATGTTTCAAACCCTTCTCTAAGATGGCTCATCAGATCATGTGATCATGTAGTTAGACACATTTGTATTGTGATGATCAGAACAGTGAAGACAATGAAAATGAAAAGATAACCAAATTTAATCATCAATTTGATGTTTCTAAGAATCCAGTAAAACACAGATTATCTTTATCACTTTAATTATTGTATGGTGCATGATTTTCATATAACTTTCCTAAAGAATAATACTGAAAACTATCAGTGAACAATCAAATAACAATACAGAATGCCTACAAGCTCAACTACTGAAACAATACACTGATGTTTCCACCAAACTTTTCTAAGAATTTTTCAAGCCTGATTTCAGATTATATCGTATCACCTTTCAAAATCAAAGTAAATGCTATGATGAATTTATTGTTCTGGTATGAGCACAACATTTCTGTATTTGTTGCTCTAGCTGTTGTATGTTTAAAATTGATGAATTTTGTATCTGTTTCCTAGTTTTTGATGATTCTTTTTGACCTATAGAAATCCTAAGATGAAACAGATTAAGCTAAATACAAATTAAGTCTTATATCTGGCTAGGTTTTGGATTTAACAAGTCACTAGACAGCCTTACTAATTTAAAGGAAAGAATTAAAAAATTTAGAGGGGAAAAGCTATTTACAGTATCCCCTGTGAATATGGATTCCAATACATTGGAAGAAAAAACAAAGATCAACAAAAGCCAGAATTCAGGAGCATAATAGACAAACAAGACTCAATTATACCAATTTATGTGCAAAATTAAATAATGTCATGCAGAGAAGAAAACCTTACAAAAAAATTGTAATAATATTAATATTGTTGCATCAACGAGGTCACGTGACTAATATCATGCCACATCCTTCTCAAATCTTCATGAATTGTTGGGAGACTACTAGATTGGGAGGTAGTCTGGTATATATATAAGACGGTCACAACGTGATGGGAGAGAATGAGTAATTGAACTGCAGTCAGAGAGAATAATGTTGAGCACGTGAGACATTCGTTTGAATTATAGCGTTTGTTATAGCGAGACTGTTGAAATTAAGTGTATCGCAAAGTTATATTCAGAAAGAATAAACCAGTTTTATTTAAGAAAGGACTTGTGTCACTAAAGTTTCGTCGGAACGAATTTACGAAAAATTAACTAACGAACAGAGACGTAACAATATTATACAATATTAACCACACAAGAGAAAACAGAAAGATAAAAGAATCCTTCTACATCCACCTAACTGAAAATACACTCAATCAAATTGAAAAACTTAAGTCTTCCTTGTTGGAAACACTCAAATAGTTAATTGATTGAGATGCTTATGAGGAAGATCTCAATTGAGTGATAATGCACCAAACTTTCATCAAGAATACCCAGGATTAACAACATACTTTAAAAGTAACAGGTTATCTCATGTAGACTGAACCACTGGTGTTTTGTATAATAAATATCTGAGAGGGTATTTATATGTAATAGATACTTCAACTGAATAATTTGTTTTTGTTTCAAACTTTCTATGTTATTCTTATGAAATCATACATGTATACAAGAGCCATACACTTACCTTAATAAATCACTTGCAAATAAAATGAAAATGAGTTATAAGTTTTAGTATTTTATATTGGTAATTATGCATTTATATTTAGAATGAAATAAGATAATTGTGGTGTTTAATACATATATATTTTCTCATTTAACAAGGCTTTGGTTATTATTGTTTTCAAATGATACAATTTTATTTCTGATAAGAACTTTGAAAAGACACTGAATACTACAATTAAAAACTTCTAAAATAATAACAACTTACTCTTGATTCTGGTTTTAAATATCATGGTTAGAAAATACTCCAGTGTGAAAACTTCAATTAATCATAAGATTGGTTGAAACATCATAATACAAATATAAATACATTTTAAATTTTAATACTGCTTAATTTGCAGCTTAAACAAATTCCTACTTTGGCATCTTTAGTACTTTGGCAGTTTAAAATCAAAAGTTTATTTAGATTAGCTCTTCACTGTAAACATACAAACATGTCAACGAAAGAAGGAATTTGACTTAAAATCTCAAATTAATAATATAAAATGAAGATAAAAATTTGAGTTAGACTCATATATTTATATCTAAAAACATAATTTAAGATCTAATTTGACCAAGCTAGTTCACCTTTGAAGCTGTCAACAGCATCAGCATGTTCTTTTTTAGTAGAGCTCGAGCAGCAGCAAGCTCTTCTCTGAGACAAGTATCTTTCAGTTCCTGATATTAAAATTGAGCATATAGTTTTAGACAGGTCATAGCATCTAGTAAAACAAGTCTCACTATTATCAAAAATAAGTTTTCAATTAAGTGAAAGTTACAATTGAAACACAAAAGTAACAATGAAAAAAATTCAGAAATATATATATATATATATATGTATATTATGATTACATTATCCTGATGAAAACTCAACAAACTGATAAAGACTTTCTGACTAAATGGTCTTAATTTTTGAAGTTCCTATAACACATACAATTCCACTTGCTGTACATATCCTTACAAGTTTGAAACACTCAAAGAAATACATGACCTTAACATAAGACATATGGATTTCAAAAATACATTTCATAGAATAACACAAAATATTGAGCAAAAACTATGGTGTGTAAGTAACCACATAGCACTTAGTTTTCTCTCTTAGCTCTTTGTCATTTAATTTTTTGGATGCCTCATGAGATGCATTTATCATCAACCATGGTAATGACTATATGAAAACTTCCTACAGCAATTACTATTTTGAAGCACTGCATTTCAAGTGTATTCTCCCATTGTTCACTTGGATGCTTAAATTTTTAGTTCTTTACTTCTTTTTCTGTCTAGACTTGCAGTGAAACTTAACTGTACTATTAAATACTGTGATGAATTCACATACATAAATACAGTAGAGTTACAGGCAGAGTAGTATGGAATAGAGAGAACTAAGGACATTAAAACTGTGGCTAAAGTATTTATACATATAGCAATACTTCTACAGTGCAATTATCGTTTTTCCTTACTATGTGCATGGCCATTAGATTTGTGTTCTAAGCAGTTTGGAATGTATAAAATACCTTGTCCTATCCTGTCCTTTTCTGCTTTCATGTATTTTCTTCACATCATTAAACTTGGTAAAAATGCTGTTTTAAGTTCAAACAGAAGAGTCTCATCTTGCCTACTACAAAAGACCCCTGCAAGCTTATAGCTTACCCTTTTAAATATGAAAATACTGTTAAAATTGAGAGAAAAAGTCCAAGGAAGTCAAACTTTGTAAACCTAAGAGTTGTTCAACATTAAATTTAATAGTTTACTTAATGAAAATGTGATTTTACTTGTAGTTTTATTAATAGTGGTATTTCTTTTAACTAATAGGTGGACATTCAAAATGTAGAAATATTTTTCACATGAAACAATAAAACAGACGATTTGATCCACAACTGGTCAACGACTATTTAATGACACTGTTATTATTAATAATTGAAGGTTGGTTTTTATATCTTGGTTTCTATCGCCATGTTGCTCAATGAAAAAACTTTTCAGGTTTAATAACATCAAACAGTTTAACCTTTGATTGTTGAAGTTGATAGAGCAAATGAGCTTTTACTTTTATTAGTTTGTTGTTCTTTATGATAATCAGAGAACATACTTACTGCTTGCCTTTTGGCTGCTTTATGTAATAAATCTTTAGTCTTTTTTTCAAAACATTTATATGACTCCATCAACTCTGCTTGGCTAGATGTATTCTTGATTCTTTCTAAGTCATCTTCTAGCTATAACAGGAAATATAATGCATGAGTGATATTATCTCCTATTGTAGAGATTGTAGGTACATTTCTCTATTTTGTACAATCAAAACTGGAACTTAAGTAATAACCTCTACCGTAATTTCTAAACAAATAACGTAATCAGTATTGGAGTGTAATAATTAAGATTTTTCTTTGCACTAGAGCATTAAAAACAGATAATTATTTTCCAATGATAATTTTTATATACTTGTTTTGAAATTTAACTTACATCTTTTCAAAATTTTCAGATAGTATATAAAACAATATAACACATGATTGTAGTTATGATTAAACATCTTGAAAAACATATTACTGGTTAAGAATATAATCACACATTTCTTGATTGTAATATGTTACATTTTTCAGAATGTATGTGAATCCAAAGGTCTTAAATTGGAATATATACTAAAATAATTATCTGGAAAAAAACTTCAGTTATTAAGAAATTATTTATTTCTTACACTTTGTAGACATTTCATAAGCAATTGAACATCAATCATGTCTGCCACTATCAGAAGTCTTGTTACAGCAGATAGCAAATTTCTAGCAGCTCTCACCATCTTACTACGACATGTTGAAGAACATGGCTCTTCTGCAAACTGTCTTGCTGATATGCTCATTATTTCACCTGGAGTAATCAGTTTAAAATAAATACTAAATTATAACATATTACAAAAAAATAATTAAGTTCATTTTGTTATTAGTGGGTTACATAAAGACCCATGTGTAATTTTGAAGGCATTAAAACAGCCAGTTCAATAAAGATGACAAGGTGAAGGGGAGGTAAAACTACCATAAGAATAAACATAACCATTTATGGTAGAGAGGTGATATATATGAATATTTTCCACGAGTTTTTTGTCTTTTAATATTATAATATTTATTATATAATCTCTACACAGACAGATTCACCTAACACATGTGAATCCATTAAGATTACTTTGTTCTAGCTGTCACTGTTCCTTTGTTAGTCTTGAGTAAATAACAACTGTGCTGCTCAGGGATAATAATGCTGCAATACTGCACACTGTGCAAGGTCATCGGCAGTGACATTTAATAGTCATCCTGATGATAGAGGTTATGGCCTCAACTATGATGTAATGAGAATGATCAGTCACATGGGTAGAGCTGGTGACTGTGGGTAAACAGGAACTAAGGAATGTTGGATCTAAATAGTCTGGAAGAGGACATTGAAGGAGAAACAGTGAAGAGAGTCCATTAAAACGAGCAGTCCCATATAAGTAAAGGCAAGTACACACACTGTGTTTGTGTAAAGTATTATAAATAAAGATTGCTCATTTTGCATTTCACTTTGTATGCAGTCATATTATTCAATCTAATATCAAGCCTCAGGTAGTAAGTGATTTAACATTACTTCATGATGGATATGTTGAAGATTAACTGAGTTTTACCTGAATATACCACAGAAACTAAAACTATTACTTGAATAACAAACATCATGTATGTAATGACTCAAACTAATAGCTGTATAAATATGTTAGTTGTGACTAATACTAGTAGATAAGGGAAAAAAAACCAAGTCCAGACCTAACCAGAACTAGAAGTTGTATCAAGATGCCAGATCCAGTGTCAGTTGAGTAAATCAGGACTTGAATAAGGATAGCCTAATAAAATTAAAACTAACATCTGAATAAGAATAACGAGATTTAATGAAGGCTAAAACATATACTTGAATCATGATAACCATGCCAGTAGAGACTAAAACAAGTACATGAATAAAGTATTCTAGTACACCGATATCTGTCAGAAGAGTATTAAGTATTCCCAAAATGTATGTCTGGAAATGTTATGCAGAGAACAAATTTAAACAAGAATTACAAAAGAAAACAATTTGATGGGAAGTGTACAATAAATTAAATATTTTATTCATTCAATTGCAAATCTACACTTCACTGGCCATCTTCTACACCATGTAAGTATTCAACTGGCTGCTGAAAAAGAACAGGATAAAGAAAAATTGATCCACACCCTATGAGATGAGATCAAGAACAAGGACATATCATACTATTAAGTCAAACCAAAGTCATAGTTTGTTATCCCACAATTCCTAGGTTTCATACGTAAATGGTCATTTCAGTTAAACAAACTTATGTTTATGTTAAATAAACTCCTACCTAAAACCAACTTGTAAAAGTTTCTACATCGAAATATGTGTTTATCTGTTTGTTGATTAGCACTGTACAATAAACTATTTGTACTCTGTCCACCAAAGATATCTAAACCCGATTTTTTAGCAATTAAGTAGTTTATACTAGACTGTAATATGAACTTTCTAGTAATAAAGATAGATATAACTTCACATATTTGGTACCGAAATGTGCAGTGGCCTTTTCTGTTGGTGAGTTGGATAATACCCGAAGGGTATAACCTGCCATGGAACTAAACTAAAAGTGATATATAGTCAAGAGGGTAACTTGCATGCACTGAGCAGCCTGAAATTTGTTTTGTTTATGTAAATATTCTCAGTTATATTCAGAATAATACAGATTTGCTAGGGAACCGAGGAGAATACTTCATTCTTTGAGAATATTCTAGAATACTAGAGAAGTGAGCCAGAACTAATATAGAATAGTTACAAATTTTCATGAGCTGAATATTATTCAGCTTGGACATCTCAAATTTAGGCTCTAACTTCAACAACTTAAGATTGCAGAGAGTGCACAAATAAAGATTTCCACCTCTATATCAATTGAGAATACAGCACAAAAGCACTTGTTCAAGTGCTAACTGAGCTCTGATTGTGAATAAAGATTGTGGTTATGTGCAAAATTGTGCCAAAGATAGAGATGGAAAGAGTAGCAGAAGCCCTCCTGGAAGTATTCTGCAGATCAGGCTTTCCAAAAAAAATCTTGAGTGACTGAGGGACACAGTTTACCTCAGAACTGATGAAGAGGTGTGCAGACTCATCAGCACTAGGCAGCTCTTTACCATCCCATACAACCCCAAGTGTAATGGACCTTGTGAAAGAGTTAATGGAGTCTTAAAGAACATGCTGAAGAATATGTGCCAGGTGAGACCATGCAACTGCAACAGGTACCTGCAGACTGTATTAGTTGCTTACTGATAAGTCCCACAAGTGAGTACATGATTTGTACACTTCAAGTTACTGTATGGGAGAACAGTACGAGGAGTGATGCAGATATTGAAAGGATTGTGGACAGAAGAAGAAGATTCAGAAGTGAGTAACACAGACCAGTACATGTTAGACCTAAGAAACCGACTGGAGGAGACCTATCAATTTGCTCAAGAGTTTTTATGCTGTTCAAGGCAGTCACAAGCATTTCTATGACAAGAAGGCCAAGACATTATTCAGGCTGATGCATCAGATGTTGGAATTGGAGCAGTACTTCTGCAAGAAATTAAAGATGGACTGTTTCCATTAATGTATGTCAGTAAAAAGGTGTTGAGTAGTGAGAAGAACAACTCTGGGATTGATTTGCCACCCAGAAATTCCTGAATTATCTCTATGGGAAGGTGTTCATCAATCAGATGAATCATCAGCTACTTGCATACATCCAGAGGTCAAAATCGACAGTGCCAGGATCATGATTGAATGTGGTACTTCCAAAACCACAGGTTCTGCATTGAGGCCATCACGGGGACAATAGGGGAGACCGGGGCTAGTCCAATATCTAGAGAAATAACCCGAATCATACATTGAAACTGAATGAAATTGAAAGATAAATATGTACTTTAACAAAATTATGTATTCTATATTGGTTACATAAAATATTTTGAAGTAAAGTCAAGTGTAACAATATTCCCCGGATGCGGGGTAAGTTGATATAATAGGTGGGGCATGTTGTTATACAATAAAAACTTTTGAAACGACAATTCAAACATAATTATATTGCAATGAATTTATTATTGATTACACGATAAAATAAATCTTGAAACGTTATTTAAACATATAAGAATCATTGTACCATGATCGAAAAACTTAAAACAAAAATGGTTATAGTTATTTTCACAAATATATGGACCACGAGTTTCACCTGCTGTGCATTTATAATGAGCCCACTTATAACAGACTGTACACTGCACCCATTCTTCTCTGGATACAGAATTACTAAACAGGTCTCCACATAGAAGATACCCAATTTCTTCCATCCGATTTTTCGCTTTTTTCTTGCCTTTATTACCAGCGCTAGCGCCTTTTCCGTGACCACTCTCTTTCGTTTTCGTTTTATCTCTGTCATCTTTTTCAAGCTGGAGTTGTTGTTTTTTCGGGTGTAGAGGGCAAAATAGCCGAATATCGTTTTTTCCTGGTTATTTTGGTCTTTC